TCTCTGTGACATTGATCGGCATGGTATCAAAAATGATCATTTCTAAGAACTGTCCCTACACGATTTCTATCAACGGTATGGATAGTAGGAATATTTCAGATGTGTCACGCCTTTCGAATCTCACGGTCCTCCTTAAGCATGGTTATTGTCCACACACTCTTAACAAGGGCGGATCCAGGGTTTTTTTGAAGGGGGGGTCTCAGGGGTAAATTTTGTGGGCAAAGGAATCCCAGTCGCCTTTTTACCACAGGAAGCCCATTTGACCTCAGAAATGACAGGGGGGTCGCGACCACCACGACCCTCCCCCTGGATCCGCCCTTGCTTAAGATCACGGCACGGCACGAATGTACCTAATGTAGTTTCAGACTAATTTTCTTTCCGCTGAGACAAACTGAGAAGTTGTGAGCGAGGAAAATAATTGTTTCAGCAGCTTTTCGTATTGAATTGAAAAGGAGCTAGTCCATGAGTCTCTACATTGCTCTCTGCTCTCTATGAATTTTTCATACTAGAAGCGGTAGAAAGTGCAAAAAATTGCTTCGAAATGGGTTTCAAAGTGAAGCCAAGATACATATGTTGGAAGACTATATCCCGGGCGGAGAAGGACGATTTAAAATACAGTAAATGTATGTAATTTGGGCTGTGAGGGGGCTGCGAGCCGCACTCTACGCCCGTGATGTAGTGCTTTTCTCAAAACACACCCTTCAATCACAAGCTAAGCCTGGTATTCTTTATCCTTCTAGTTGGTTGTATCATGAAGCAATCGTACACGAAACCGAGCCTGATGAGGACGAATTTCTAACAGCTACGGTCATCATGGACGAAGTGATTAACAACGAGTTTGAAAAGAAGTATGTATATGGAGACATTTTATCTTGATAAATCAAATATGGAGAGATTTATGACTGAAGCCCGTTAAATCCATACTCCTAGTTCAGGTCAAGGGATAAACCTTGTTAAGGTAAGGGAAACTCCTAGTTCAGTAAAGGGGTTGCTCATAATTCAAGTAAGGTATGCTCGTAGATCAGGAGAAAGAATACTCCTAAATCACTGATAAGGGATATTCCTAAATCAGGTTAAGGGACATTTGTAGTTCAGCTAACGGATATGTATATCTATGTATACATCTATACATGGCTATATATAAAGTTCTAATATGGCTAGGGATGTTGTACATGTATTGATGACCATGTATCGCTATTGACGTCTCCGGCCATATGGCCACGGACGGCAGTGAATGGGTAACGCACCAATGCCACAGGAGCGTCTACATGGACTACACACACGACAACCAGTGTTCACAAGGGCGAAATGTCAAAAATATGATACTATAGATATTATAGCGAATAAACACTTAAAATTGTCCATCATCTTGAATATTACCTTAGGATTATAACCCCAGGGAAGGGATCCCGCGCGAACGAGCGAAAAAACTGAGCACTAGTGCYTGTCCTCTTCTTCTTTTGTCAACACAGGTAAACCGCAAATATATTATTTGCAATCTCAGTTTCCTTTGCAAATTGCGCTTAGAACGTTCTACATTCTCTTTTATGATATTTATCTTTAAATGAAATTATGCCGTTTGAAAATTGGCATATGATGGTAATTGTAGGGTCTTTTTATAACATATGCAAAGAAATGCAAAAACGTGACCCAATACGGTCCGTGTAACACTCCACAAAGAGCTTTTCAATTTAGTTGGCATGAATTGGACATA